TGTGTTTTAGGGATCTGAAATAATTAATGATGACAGTTATAAAAATGAACAAACTGACACACAGCTCCTGGATCTGGAATCTTGCAATGAGGAAGTGGTCTACAATAGAGAGGATTTCAGAAGCCTCCAACCATGCACTGATTAATACAAAATTCCACAGAGTCTATTGCTCAGTGGTAGATACTTGCCTGGTATTCGCTAGGCTCTAGCTATGCTCAGTCCCCCGAAGCAAGCACGCATACACAAAGCTAGAAATTTCTTCTCCACAATCTCAGGCAGACTGTCCTCGATCCTTCTCCATATATAACCCAGGCTGGCCGTAAATACATGATGATTCTGTCTCAGTCTTTCCACGTGCTGGGTGTAGGTTTAAGCCACCACACTGGACATTGTTCTCAACTGTTAAATATAACTGGAGACAGTATGTTAAACAAGTCAAACACATTTACAGATTTCTGTCATTTTTATAAATTATCTTGTTAATCTCACAGACGTGAGGAGAAAGACCACCAACCCAAATTATGTCCAAATTAAAGTAAGATTTATTTGTGCAAGCCATAGCCAAATCAGCAGCTGTCTCCCCCTAAAATGGGGTTCATAATACCAGCCCCAAGCCAATTTCTCAAGCTCTTCATATAGGGCAAAACCATAGGGTGGGGGATTTTGCATGTACTCATAGTTACAGAAGTGAGACCAGGTGGTTAAAGTTAAAGTGGGTCATGGAACAATGAGTATAGAACATTCTCAAGAACGGGTAGCTAGGTTGGGGATGTAACAGTATATTCTATGGTTACTGGGGTAGAGTGCAGCCCAGCACTGAGAAATATATAAACCTCAAGTTTTATAGTAAACAGAAACTTAACTTGGCTATAGACTCAAATTGAGATGGGGTGGCTTCTCAATATTCTTTTAATGAGCCAAAGTTTTCCTCCTGTTTCAACCATGTTTTGTTGATTCTGAGTCTGCCCTCCATACCTACACAAAAACATCTAATACCATTTGGTTAAAATGCCAGCCTGGACCTCTTGTCTTTCAGATATTCTTTGATTGAATTCCAGGTTGTGAAAACTCAAATTAAATTTCAATGATTTAAAATGTAACCTTGAGGACTGGTGGGATGGCTCAGAACTAAAAGCACTTGCTGTTCTTACAGAGGACAGAAATTCTGTTCCCAGCACCAGTGTGGCAACACACAACTGTAACTCCAGTTTTGGGGGTCTGACACACTCTCTGGGCTCAACATATACATGGTACACACACACGCAGGGAAAACACATACACATACAAGTATATATAACTATGTTTGATGCCTTGATGTGTAGAGTTGGGACATGAGACTCACCAAGCACACCACCTTTAAGCCATTTTTATTTTTATTTATGTACATAAGTCTGAGTGTTATATGAATATATGGTGCACATGGATGATCATGGATGCCTTTAAAAAGCAGCAGATTCCCTGGAAGTAGGGCTACAGGAAGTTGTGATTCACACTGTATAGGAGCTGAGAACTGAAGTCTTCTCCAAGAGCAGTGTGGGCTCATAATCATTGAGCAATCTGTACAGATTTGTTTGGTTTTGTTTGTTTATCTTTGGAGATAGGATTTACTAAGTAGCTCTAGCTGTCCTGGAAATACCTATGTAGATCAGGCTGGCCTTGAATTCACAGAAGTCTACCTACCACTTCCTCCAGAGGGGGGTGATTAAAGGTCTACACTACCAGGCCTCATCTCTTACTTCTTTTTTTAAAAAAAAACTAATAAATAAATAATACTAAATGAAATTACATTTATTGCTGGGTATGTTGTTTTATGTATATGTGAGCATACATGTGCCACAGCTCATGTGTGAAGGTTAGAGAAGAAATTTTAGGACTTTCTTTACTTCTTCCACCACACGAGTCTCTAGCATTGAACTCAGGCATTCAGGCTTAGAATAAATTTCACTTTTAACCAGTTTGCTAGCCCTTTATGAAATAATTTTTTAAGAGATTGTTTATTGTATGACACTTAAACCCTGGGAATTGATTAATTATGTTCTAATTCAAGTGGAAACCATGTATTCCACATAAGTTGGCATTTTATAGACTTAGAAAAATAATGATTCTCACTAACCAATATTACCATGTTTGATCCAGGAGTGATTTGTGTTGACTCATGGCTTAGGTTCATATTAATAAAAATTACACAAGAGGAAACATCTGTCTTAGGGTGGAAAATAACTTTGGGTTAAAAAACAAAATGAACATTAATACTTCTTATTAGATTTTTACAGTCACATAATAGATAGATGATAGATAGATAGATAGATAGATAGATAGATAGATTCCCAAATTTCCTTGTATACACTACTTTTCTCAGAACATGGATTAATATCTTACAGAATGTGTAAAACATGTTATGGAAAGTAATGCTTACATTTCTTATTTTTGAAAGATAGGTGTTGCCGGGCGGTGGTGGCGCACGCCTTTAATCCCAGCACTTGGGAGGCAGAGGCAGGCGGATTTCTGAGTTCGAGGCCAGCCTGGTCTACAGAGTGAGTTCCAGGACAGCCAGGGCTATACAGAGAAACCCTGTCTCAAAAAACCAAAAAAAAAAAAAAAAGAAAGAAAAGAAAGATAGGTGTTAAGCAATAGAAAGATACTTATTTAAAATTACAGCACAAAAAGTTTGGGGAGAGGGCTGGTGAGATGGCTCAGTGGTTAACAGCACTAACTGCTCTTCCAGAGGTCTTGAGTTCAATTCCTAGCAACCACATGGTGTCTCACAACCATTTATAATGGGTTCTGATGCTTTCTTCTGATGTGTCTGAAGACAGTTAAATTGTATTCATATAAATAAATCCTTTAAAAAAAAGTTTGGGGAGACTCCAATAGTGAGTGAACTAGCATTTTATAAGAAAAGATAGGTTGAGTATGATGGTACATGGCTTTAATTTCTAGTACTCTGTAGGCAGAGGCAAGTCAAGGCCATCCTGGTTAACTTAGAAAGAGCCAAGACTACCAGGGCTACATACTCAGACCCTGGCTGAAAAAAACTAAAAGGAAAGAGATGTTCAGGTTGCCCAGGTAGACAAAGAGTTAATTCTCTAATGTGTGTAAACTATGTAAAAAGCTAGGAACTGCTTACTGGTTTCTCATCTTCAAAATATATGCCACTGCCAAATCCCTGCATTATTTACAATGTGAGCAATACTATCTCTACACCCAAAGTGGAAACTAGTATTAATGTAGGCCACTCCCTTCTTACCTCAGTCACCCCCTCATGATCATTCATCAAATGTTCCATCTATCTCACTCACCTCCTACCCTTCTTTTCCCACCCCTACTTACATCCAAGCAACCACTGTGCCTTATTTATTACAAATCATTCTGTGCCTGCTCTTCACCACAGCATTGCCTTAATTCATAGCCTTCTTATTACTTACCTGTATAGTATATTATCTTTTAGACTCATTTTCAAATAAGCATCCATTCTGAAGACAAAATAAGTCTTCCTAAAACACAAAGGTATCTTATTATATCACACCTGTGCTTTCATAAAGGATTAGACTGCTCGTTATTATGACCAGTGAAGCTTAGGCTCTGACTTCTTCCTGTATCTCAGCCTCATTTGACACCATCTATTACCTATGTCATATTATTCCCTTGCCTTGTGATGCTTCTTCACTTCAAATCCTCCTTTTCTCTTTCCTCTCTAGCATTGCAATAGCTCCTGTTACATCAACACTTGGCTCAGGTATCTTCTCACCAGATGGTGGCCATGGTAGCTCTTAGTATCATCTTCATTTTGCTTGCACCTTCTGTGCACTTTGTGTAAGCTTTTTCTTTAGCATTTACAGAAATACATCTTGGTAGAGAAATGTATGCAAAAAAAGTGAGCATGTGCCTATACTAAATTTATCTCATTAACAAAAGAACCCAAGCCAGGTGTATTGGTTCATGCCTTTTATCCTAGCACTCCAGAGGCAGACAGGTCTCTGTGAGTTCAAAGCCAACCAGGTCTACAAAGTGAGTTCCAGGAAAGTTGGAACTACATAGTGTGACCCAGTCTCAATGAAAGCAAAAAATAAACAAAACAGAAAAACAAAGGAACCCATAAAAATAACTTAAAGAGAAAATTTAAAAATCTAAGATTTCAAAGGTAGTGCAAACAAGATACAATAGCATGTTGCATAACCAAATTGAGTTGAACTGAATTTAATCTGTGGTGCTGCTAGTTGAACACACAGATACTTGCATGTTAGATATGTGTTCTACCATTGAGCAGCACCTCCAGCCCAAGATCTGAATTCTAAGAACTGGCTGCTGTATTAGATGCAGTCTTAGTTAAACTGTAGAATTTATCAGCTAAGTTTTATCCCAAAAAAGACAATCAACACATCAGTTTTGCCTAATTTCAAACTTTTTATGAATGTTAAATACCCAGGCCTAATAAATAATATAATGCCAAAGAGAAATAGTCATAGCAACTTTCTA